CTAACTTCAAACCATTCATAATTTATGTTAAATTACAATAGCTAGTTTACATTAAATTGTACAGCTTCTCTCTTATTTAACACAAGGAACTTTGGACTTGCCTTATTATCAGCAACTGAAGATGGAAATGAAAAATTGCTACATAAAGAATTGATAATATTTGAGTTTGTGGGTCCTGAATAACTTTTGAGTGATGCTTAGAAGTCAGAGAATAATGCCAGTTTGGAATAAATGATGTTTGCAAATAACCCTAATGCTAACTATAACTAACTTTAAAAAATGAGGTAAGGACATGATATTGCTGAATATGACTTTTAATTGTCTGGTACAATTTAATTGAGTATATGCAAGGTAGTACAAACTCATATACTTTTCCATGCACACAAAGTCATCTCTGGTCAGGTTTTTCTTCATTTAAGAAGCACCACACAAGGTACCGCTCTGGGCTATTGTTTATTACTATCAGTGGTCGGATTCAAAAAGTTTTACAACCGGTTTGATGGGCATGCTTTGAGTAAGTGCACACACTTTGTGTGCACATGTGCGCCAAATGCACACTTTGCACAGGTGCAGAGGCATTTGTGCAGGCACAGAGGCATTCCAACTCACCTCCTGCAAGCCTGCACTCTCCCGGCTGCTTCAGCAGCTTCTGCGTGGCACTCTGCTGTGCCGTGCAAAGCACCTGCACTTCAAAAGCAGAGGATAAAGGTGAGTATGGGAGCCCGGACAGGCAGGTGGCCCAACAGCACAGCAGTAGAATACCACCACTGATTACTATCCTTAATGCATTAGGAAAGGCTGTTCTACAGTAACCAATTTCATCCTGGAGACAGTAGCTAGGTGGTTGCTAGAGATGACACCAATTTGATGGCTCATAATAATTAAATCAATCGCAAAATTGCCTGATTGTATTATGCACTGTAAGAATTTAAACTGTAAAAGTAGGACTTAACACAGAAGATCTAAACCAAAAGATAATTAAAAGCACCTCCTTGCATATTTTGGTTACCATCCAAATTCCATTCTCCAAACTGATTTTGTTTTCTTAAATATATTTCATCACGGCACAATTAGAACTGTTTTCTGGTCCATCGTGCACAATATTTAAATCTAATGTCTGCAGAGACAACCATATATGGATCAATGTGTACTAAATGATGTGAAATATTTCAAAGTTGTGGATCATCTATAAAAAGGGGGGGAATTCAAGAAGCAAAGAAAAAGGCTTCAAAATAAGACAATGTTACAAAATAAACTGCCAATCTGAGCAAAAGTCTAAATGAAGCTTTTAGTTAGGAAACTGAACGGTAAAATGGTATGCCTGTATTTATTCCTATAGGACCCACATTTCTGGATAAGCAACTAAGATCACACTCTGTGTTACAGGCCTCTCTTTACAATCCTCACAATGACAGATTTCAACATGAAAATACCGGATGAAATTACGGAAATACAATGTATCTGGAGGGCATCAATTCAAGTAAGGTTAATCTATGACATTTATTCAGCTGTAACCAGATTGTAGCTGGGATGATTAAGGAATGGCAGATACTGCAGGAACTGACAATTTGCCTGCAGCATTCTCCTTTGCAAAAAGGAGAAAAGAAAGGTAGAACTCTTTCTTCTACCTGCTACTGATGCTGTTACTGCTGCAGCTGCGTAAATTTTGAATTGCTCATGCTCAAATATTAAAGCAATTTCAGTTATAGATAAAAGCCTCATAAATATGTTCATTTTGAACATTATATTGATAAAATGATTGCCACAGAAAGGGTAAAGCTTATAAGGATGTTTCCCCATTTTCCCATGAGAAATCCTTTCTTCGAAACAACACAGTCTTGGTGCATTGCATTACACTTTAAGCACCCTGGCACTAAAAGAGATAACAATAGATTTTCAAATTTAAAGACAAAAATCACAGCAAAGTGGATTGAACTGACATGGCCCATGCTTGGCTATTAAACAACATAGAGAAGTCCTTCAAACACATTAAGAAACTAGCTGGTTCTGTCAAGAGGTCTACTGAGCTACTACTGACAATACTCTGAATATTGATAAAATAGATGAAGCACTGATAGAACCATACATTTTTGGAAGAAATGCAACTTTAGAACATCAGTACAAAGAAAATGCATATTTTAGCCTCAGTGGCGCAGTGGTTGGAGTGCAGTACTGCAAGCTACTTCTGCTGCCTGCCAGCTGCCTGCAATTTGGCAGATTGAATCTCACCAGGCTCAAGGTTGACTCAGCCTTCCATCCTCCGAGGTGGGTAAAATGAGGACCCAGATTGCTGGAGATAATATGCTGATTCTGTAAATTGCTTAAAGAGGGCTGTAAAGCACTATAAAGCAGTATGTAAGTATAAGTGCTATTGCTATATCCTAGTGATCTTAGGATATGGAAGGTGTATTTCAGGTACTTAAAACTATTATCTGTTCCACTATCAAAACAGAATTGAAAAAAAATATTTATCTTTGCTCTTTTTTGGCTTAGGCCATGACGATCTAAATGACCCAGCTAATTCTTTGTCACATTAAAAATTATTTTTATTTATAATTTTAGTCTGCTGCAATTTAAAACTTCTTTAGACTCAGAGAGCAATACAAGAGTCTCAAAGCCCAAATGCTGCATGAAGTTCATTAGCTTAAGGATACAACACCGAAGACTTTTCATATACAGGTAGTCCATGACTTACAATAGTTGGTTTAATGACCGTTCAAAGTTACGTTGAAAAAAGTGACTGATGATCATTTTTCAAACGTACAAGTATTGCAGCACCTGCATGGTCATATGATTAAAATTCAGGCAGTTGGCAACTGACTCATATTTATAACAGTTGCAATGTCATGTGGGGTCATGTGATCACCTTTTTTGATCCTCTGACAAGCAAAGTCAATGGGAAAGCCAGCTTCACTTAACAATCATGTTACTAATGTAGCAACTGTGATGATTCACTTAAAAACTGTGGCAGGAAAGGTTGTAAAATGAGGCAAAGTTCATTTAACAACTGTCTCACTTAGCAACAGAAATTTTGAGCTCCGTTGTGGTCATAAGTCAAGGACTACCAGTATTGATAAAAAGTGTCTAGTGACACAAAAAGTGAAGATGATAAAGAGCATCATAATGTGCAACTAAACATAAGTTAATCAAATAAAACATTCTTACTGTGAAACAGAGTTGCAAAACAAAGCCATTTGTTAGCTGACAGAATTAATTACTAACCAGAAGACCTATATTTGGTTTAGTTACCAGGCTGACATATATTTTTTTCCAAGATCAGTACCTACAAAGTATTATTGCAAGCCATAGAAACTTACTTGTAGTGCTACAAACGCCCATAATTTATGAATTTGAGTCTTTTGCTGTATGTATTTTTGCTGTATGTATTTGCTGTATGTATTACCTGAGTTAGGGTACTATGTTTGACATTGCAATTAAATAATGGACTCCATTTTCCTATGGGTTTTACTAATGAAATTCTACTTTCTAGGTTTTGTAATTTTTTTAAAGTAGAATCTATCTCAGTGATGACTCTTATTTATTTATTTTATTTATTTTATTTTGTCAATTGATTATAAGATAACAGGTATAAGTATAAACATAGTTGTGAATACATGAAATGGATACATATAAGAAAAATAAAAAGTATCAATAGGACAGGGACAGCAGGCACGTTGGTGCGCTTATGCATGCCCCATATAGACCTCTTAGGAAAGAGGTTAAAGTTTTTGGGGTTTGGGGAAGAAACCATAGAGTCAGGTAGAGTATTCCAGACATTGACCACTCTGTTGCTGAAATTGATTCCAGACATTAACCACTCTGTTGCTGCATATTTCCTGCAATCAAGTTTGGTGCGGTTAACTTTAAATTTGTATCTATTGGACTTCTGGTTTGAGCTTCTTTGGCGACAGACCAAAATCTGCGATCGTGCGCAGTTTTGATCCATGCTCACTGCTGGAGCACCCCGAGCCGGCTGGATTCGGGGCTAAGCCATCCCGTAGAGGTGATGAAGAGATGGGAGACTGCCAGCAGGGTCAAGGAGAGCTGCATCTCTCTCCTCAGATGGCCATTACTCCCTTTCCCGAAGGTGGTTGTAGCAGTGGTCAGAAATGGCCACCTCAAAGAAGAACTTGACTGGAAAAGAATGTGCAGGAGGAAGATAAAAAGAGAAAGTTTTGGTTGACCAGGTTAAACTGAAAAAGCAATAACGTAAGGTACCCTGGAATTTGAACTATAAAAAATAACATTGTTCCCAAAGAAGACTTTGAAGCAGCAAAGGAGAGAGGGAAGGGAAAGGATTTGGCTTTTTTTTTCTTCCCTTCCTTATACTGACAGCTACGAGATTTAAGTAAGAAATTGACAAAAATCCATTTTGATATCAATAGGCATTTAAGCTGAAAATAAAATGTCAAAGGGATCATAAAGACTTTTGGATACTCAAAATCCTTTAAAAGCAGGAAAGGAGAGAAAAGGGAAGAATAAAAGGGCAGGATCTGGAAAAATGGAGAAGACTGATGAGCTGTATTCAAGTATTGGTCTAGCAAATGTTTTGTACACTTTAGTTAGTAGTGTGATATTACCAGAGAAAAAGCTATGTAGGATTAGATTAACAACTCTTAATGCCTTTTTGGCTATGTAGTTACAGTGGGCTTTAGCACTTAGATCATTAGAGATGAGTACTTCAAGGTCCTTGACATAGTTGGGGTCATCAACAAGGTCTTGACTATTCAGCTTGTATTTTATTTTCTGAATTTTTTTGCCAATATGTAAGACAGAACATTTATTTGTTGAGATTAGAAGTTGCCATTTGTTTGACCATTCTGATACATAGTCGAAGTCTTTTTGAAGGGTAGCAGTATTGTTGGACATCCTGGATTTTTACTTTTTTTTTTCCTTTGGCCTGCAGTATTCAACAACTCTTTTCAACATATTTCTATCCTAGCTAAATAATTGCCTTGGCAAATTTGTCCCCTTCTCCCCTACTTCACCTAGCGGTTTACCTTGCAACATGGCAGAGGTGGTATAGTAATTAAAAGGAACATTCTTCACCAGGTACTGCTCGGAATCCAGGAAAGACAGCTTATCTCCGACAATCACAGACTTTCCCGTGCCTGCATTTCCCACCAGCATGACAGGCCTGTGTGTCTCCAAGAGATGGTCCAAGAAATAGCGCAGCCGGATGGTTTCATTGGTATGAACCAGACAGGCCTGAAAGGGATATGAGAGACATTTACTAGGAGACTCCTAAAATCCCAGCCACAGAAGTCGGGCAGGTTTGCTCAGTAAGTGGCATTGTATGACAATATCTCATGAGCTCCTAGCTAAGATTCTGTGCAGTTCAGAGAACCCCAAATCCCACTCCTGTCTGGCCCTGCCCACCCCACCCCTCCCAGGAATCCCCACACAGCCTGTTTTGGATACAGGTAAGTGCAATGCGCATGTGGAGGCTTGAGGAGGATGAAAAATGGGGCCATTTCTGGGTTCCAGAGAGCCTCCAGAGCCCAAGGAGGGCATTTTCGCCCTCCCAGAGGCTCGAGGAAAGCCTCTGGAACCTAGGGAGAGCGAAAATGCCCCCCCCACTAGGCCACGCCCTCCATGGCCATGCCCACCCAGCAACAGAGCAGAGAACCCCTTGCTAAAATTTTTGAAGCCCACCCCTGCTCAAGAGCAATTATTCTTATACTCCCCTTATATTTCAATAGAATCAATCATATTCAAGGTGTGGAATACAGGTAGTCCTCAACTTGCAACCACAGCTGGTACTGGATTTCTGTTGCTAAGCAATGTAGTCATTAAGCGAATAATCATGTGACCAGGTCCCATTTTACAACTATTTTTACAGCAGACATTAAGCCAATCATATGGCTGCTGAGTGAATCACATGGTTGTTAAATGAATCTGGCTTCCCCAATTGACTTTGCTTGTCAGAAGCTGGTTGGGAAGGTCACAAATCATGATCACCTGACTAAAGGACACTGCAACTCTCATAAATGCAAGCTGGATGCTAAGTGCTTGGATTTCAATCATGTGACCCAGCAGGTGGTGCAAAGGTCATAACTTCAAGGACAGATCACGAGTCACTTTTTTCCAAGGCTATCATAACTTTGAGCTGTTGTTAAACAAACAGTCATAAGTCAAGGACTACTTCGATGTGTGTGGTGTCTTTTTTGACATCTTTTCTGTTATTTTCCAAAGACTGACCTTCGAATCAGGCTCTGAGTTCCAGTGATATGACACCACTAGATAGCAAGTTCAGAATCAGGATAAGAAACATAGGGGTTTTTTCTATCAATTTAGCAGTAGGTTTCTTCTACTTAGAATTATTTTTGTTTGATTGGCTCATGGCTAAGCTTCTTTACATTTTTAATATTTTGATTTACCAATATTCTCATCCAAATTAAATTGTGCAAGTGATGTTCCATCTAACTCCAGAAAAAGTGTACACTATCCCCTAAATCAGTGTTTCCCAAACTATTTCCTTCATTACTCAAACCTGCTGGTCAGGAAGTCTTTATTTAAATGTCCCTGTTGTGATTGAGTAATGGGTTTGTGTGTCATTACCCAAAGAAAAACCACTTTTATCCAACTTTGGGTAATTTAGGTGCTTACCACAGTAATTTCTCTATTTTCTCACAATAATAACAGAGGTAATTTTCAGCAAAATATTATGTAATGGCTGCATCTAACAGAATTTGTTTCCTGTTTCCAAAATTCACAGTGACCCTCCCAAAAATTACTGGAGATGGGATCACTTCAGTTGCATTCTTACTATCATCAAGACAACAAATGGAAATCCAGACACTAACTGTAGAATGTCTGTAAAGATTTTTAGGCTAAAACTGGCCAAATTACAAAACCTCTCCCTCGCTGTCGAGAAAGACAAAATTGCAGGAAAAAAGTCTCAGAATGACCTGGTTTGCTTTTTTTTGCCTCCCTAAATCATGCCAGCATCATTCTTCTCCTTTCACCAGCTTGAGAGTCAGCATTATCTTGAAAAAACTGCAGAGCCTCAAGCAGAAAAACAACAGTTCAAGATATCACTGCTACCGAAAGAAACAGGTGCTGCTGCATGGACCATGGATGATGTATACACCCTCCCTGCCCTGTGATTTCTTTAGCTTAAGAAACTGGTATGTATAAAAGGCAGCAAGCCTCCCATATTTTTCTAATTTAAGGCATATAATCATACTATAATTATAAATTTAAATAAATATGTTATAAATAACAATAAATTATAAATTTGAGCAATAATAGTAATACTGATATCGCATGGAAAGAGGTTAAAACTGTCCTGATGAAACTATCCTTCAAAAGAAACTCAAATACTTTGGCCATCTAATGAGAAGGAAGGACTCACTGGGGGAGGAGCCTAATGCTGGGGATGGTTGAAAAGAAGAACAGGATGGCAGAGAGTGAGGTGGCTGGATGAGATCACCGAAGCAGTTGGCATGAGCTTAAATGGACTCTGGGGGATGGTAGAGGACAGGAAAGACTGGAGGAACAATGTCCATGGGGGTCAGGCAATGGGTCAGGCAGGACTTTGCAACTAACAATAACAACAATGGAAACACCTGGAGTCGAATTTGGCAAGTAAACAGCAATTGCTTCATTATTATGATTATATTTATTTGTGCGTTACACAATACCAAAATGGGGATGCCAAAACTGAATATAAGCAGAGGAGGAAAAGGAAGAGGAGAATGGATTTAAAAACTGGACTGTAGTGGAGTTTCTTTGAAATAGCATTCCTAGAAAGAATGGCCTACATATTCCTTAAACTAATAAAGATGATAATGGAGCAACTGCTATTTTCATGCCAAATTTGGTCCCTATTGCCTGTGTTTCCATTGGATTAAATCAGAACCTGTGATAGCAGTCACATTTTAATACAATTAGACAATAAAAGTACATACATAACATTAATAAAATCACATACCACACTAAGTTCAAGGTCCACAGGCTGTTCTTTCAGATACACGCTGTCTCTCTCTTATGACACAGTTCAGATCTCCAAGTTCTCACCAAACGATTCCCGTATCAATTTGTAATAAATAAACTGATAAATCCTAACAGCTTATCAGTATATTTTGAAAAATAGACAACTAGGCTTCTCAGTGTAAAGACTGACTTCAAAAATAATATGTAAATAAATAATTAATTTGGAGACTGATCTCTCACACATTATTTTCTGACTATATTTGGGCCTTTAACATTCTCTGTCTCATATACATGTATAAATATATTACTCACCTGTAATGGTATTTCTCGGTCAAATTCAAATTTGGGAATCAGTTTGGACCAAGGTTCAATTTTTTTTGTTTCTGAATCAATATAAAAGTCAAAAACTGTTCCTTGGGAAGGAAACTTGATGGTCTTGAATTCAGTCATCCACCATTTACTGAATTCAACTCTGTAGTTTATAAGCTTCCAAAAAAATAGAGAAAATAAGTTTTAATGAATAGATAATTTTTGTTTGATATATTATTTTAATAAATGCTGAAAGGCAATCCAGTGAGTTGTTATCTGAGAATCAAATCCTATACTTACAATTTGTTTGAGGTATTGGATATTTACTTATTGTTCTAAGTTTGGGGACAGATCTTTGCAGGATCCCTTTGAGTTCTGATTTTTCTGACCGCTATGTGGATCAGTGGCCCTCAACCTTTTTTGTGCCACGGTCCGGTACCGGCCTCACAAAATGATCCGCGGCCCAGTACTGGCATCAGCACACATGACAAGGCATTTCCTCTCCCCCCCACCTCCCCTCCAGGTCTTCCCCAGCGATCCCTCCCTGCACGGAAGCCTCAGCTGGTGCTTTCGGGCTCTTCCTCGCCCCCAATGCATGAGATCCTCTGAGCTGCAGGCTAAAGGCGGCAGGGCTCCTCCGGGCTGATCGTGCAGGCACCTGACAGCTGGGGGGGAAGGGGGGGAGAAGAGACCCGGGGCGTGACGTGGGTCCACTTTCCTCCCCACTGAGAACTTTTTTGCATCTGGTACGGGTAGTTTGGTGAGAGGCAGCGGCTCTATAACCCCAAAGGCAGCTCTCACCCGGCATCAGCACGCGCACACGCCCACACACAGAACACCCACTCAAACACCCACTCACTATCCCCACAGCGTGAGAATAACAGGAATAATAGTCTTCTTCCCCCACCCCACTCCACCCGCCACTAGCCTTGCGGTTGTGACTTGTGTCCCCGCTCCTGGCTCGGTTTTTCCTGCAACTGACTCCCGCCTCACACTTTTGAAAGAGCGAGAGCGACCTGAGGAGTCGTTGAAGCGGCCCCGTTGGGGGGGTGGGGGAGAGAGGGAAAGGCGTATTATTACATGAGCCTTTTAAACTCGTGAGAATGGGCTTCCAGGGCAAAAACCATTTATTTACATCTGGGTGGCCAGGAATCGTTTGCAAAACCACTTCGCCTTTGCCAGTCCTCTTCCTTTTTGCCTTTCCCTTCCTGGGAACACTGGACTGGAGCCGCGTGGAGCCCCACCGGGCAGTAGCAACTCCTGACTCAGGGGGCCTCTGAGGGGAGGGGAAGGAGGAGAAGAAAGGGGGGGAAGGGGCTGATTCCCCCCAAAAATCAGAATTCCGAAGAATATCATGTCTGTCGAAACAAAATGGTGGCGCCCAGCAAACCGGCGGCCCGGTAGAAAATGATCCACGGACCGGTACCAGTCCGGGGCCCAGTGGTTGGGGACCCCTGATGTGGATGACCTAAAACAACAGCTTTTAAAATTGGCCAAAATACAAAAGGGAGGACATTCTGGGGACATAGGTAGGAAATAGGAAGACCCACAATGACAACAGAAATGGGTGAAGGTAACTTTCTTTCCTAATTGGATGATGAATAAGATAAAGATATAGCAGGAAGAGTCCATGGTGACAGTGGCTTGGGCTACAAAAGCGACAGATAGTTGACTTTGTTTCCTGGAGAAGTATGGTAATTTAAAATTCTCTAGATCAGCAGCTCCAACCTTTTGGGCACCAGGGACCGGTTCCATGGAGAAATGTTCTTCCATGGATTTAGATGGTTAGATGCAGAGGTGGTATTCAGCCAGTTCAGACCAGTTCTGGAGAACCGGTAGCAGAAATTTTGAGTAGTTTGGAGAACCGGCAAATACCACCTCTAACTGGACCCACCCCCATCTATTCTCTCCCTCCTGAATCCCAGCTGATTGGCTGGGTTTTCTTTTGTTGCCCTGTACAGGAGAACGGAGCTGGAAAGCAGGTTAGTGGGGTGAGGAGGGAATGGGATTTTGCAGTAACCTTCCCACAGGAGTGGCAAGGGAATGGGGATTTTACAGTATCCTTCTTCTGCCACACCTACCAAGCCACACCACGCCCACCAAGCCACTCCCACAGGACTGATAGTAAAAAAATTTGAATCCCATCACTGGTTAGATGGTTTACATGGTTTTGCATGCTGCCTGCATCCTGCAGTTGGGAGTTTGTTTGTTTGTGCAGTCCAATTACTGGTATGCCAGTTCACAAATTGGGCGAAGGGGACCCCTGCTCTAGATATCAGGTAGAGGACAAGATTCTATTGGAATGTTAATGCTACCAGTTCCTTATTTGTACAAAACAATAAACATTATGATTCCCTTAAGTCTTGCTTTAAATACAGATGATGACTACCTGGACACAACCATGCAGTTTTCTGGAGAACAAAGTATAAGTGGTTTGCCACTAATTTCTTCAGATTTTTTTTTACTTCTCAGCCTAGACTACAGTCCTGATGAATCTCCTAAACATGTACTTCTCCTTGCTTAATTTTTTTACCATTAGCTAAGACTGGATTGGTGTTTCAGTTGCTATGATCCACATTTTATATTCGGTCCATAGATACTGTATGTAATGCATATAATATGTATATTGTGCTATAAATTCAACAGCCTTCTTCCCAGAAAAAGTTGCTTCTGCCTAACTTTATCTAATAACACTTGTCATTTTGCTGAAATAGGGCACATACAGGTATTCTTCTGTATTTCTCCCCAATTTTATCTTGGCAATTTTATCATTCCTAAATAAGCAGACCTATATGATGGAAGACATCTAAGTTAAGAGTGCAGATTTAACTGCATATGTATAGAGTTACCCTGTGGTAAGATGGGTGGATAGATAGACAGACAGACAGACAATTAACTCAGTGAATTCATCAAGATTCTCTGAGTGAAGAAAGTCCAGGACTAACATCAAGCTATGCTAGCAAAATCTTCTTCCAGCAATCAAGGCATATTTTCATTTCAATGGGTAAAACAAAAAACTTGGGTTCAGCCATATTTTTGTCCTTGTACGCAGCTATCATAAAACATCATGATTTGTTGAGAACTTCTACAGCAATGTGCAAATTAGAATAATTGACTTCTGCATAGAAGATGGACATAACTTTCTACAAGCCCTTCACAGCAATGCACTGTACTAGGGATATCTTCACAAACACACAGGTCACAACTGTGAATAGTTCAATAATTGAGCTACTTGCTACCCAGAATATTATGGTTGCTCCTTTAGTATCCAGGATGCTATGGAAGAGACATTGTTGCTCTTTGGCTAGCATATATTCAAAAAAAGCTCTGCTACTTTAATTTGAAGACTTCTTAAGTCAGTATGTTACTAGTTTCTTGTGTTCATTGAGTATCCAGAGCTCAAAAGATTGGTTCACACATAAATACTATTTCTCAATCCTTGATTAATACAGATGAACAAATGAACTAATGCTATAGGGAAGCAATCTCCCAATTTGTAGACCTTAATTTCTATAATTCTTTAGCTAGGAAGCTTGGTTAAGGTTAAGGAAGCTTGCTCTAGGAAAGACTTGTGTTGGAGACGATGTGAGTTTGTATGGAGTCCTTTTGTTGTTACTCTACCGTAGCCCCTTTACATATACAATATGCACTTTGTCTATGTGTTCAGTTTAGTGTTTTATTACTGAGAAGAGTTAACATGAGAGTTAATAATGTATTCACAAGAAATGATGTAAGGAATCCATCTAGAGTGAAGATCTTATTGAAATGTGCCTGGTGAATATCACTGTGAACCAAAAGTTCCTGCCAAGTCAACTTCAAACTCTCACTGGATTCTTTCGGGATTATTTTTCTTAGTTGGCTTTAGACACTTTTCCAATACAGCCAGTCAGATGAAGCCACAAGTTCATTTCATTGAGGCTTTGAAAATGTGTGTGTGTGTGTGTGTGTGTGTGTGTGTGTGTGTGTGTGTGTGAGAGAGAGAGAGAGAGAGAGAGAGAGAGAGAGAGAGAGAGAGAGAGAGAGAGAGAGAGAGAGAGGGAGAGAGAGAGAGAGAGAGAGAGAGAGAGAGAGAGAGAGAGAGGGAGAGATTGAGCCGAGAAGGAGGAAGTCTTACTAAACCCAGCCATCAAGACTTCTACAATGTGGTGGCTTCTCTAACTTAAAATAGCATAATTCCTGCTTTTTTGTGGCTGCAGTATATTTGAAAAGGGAACTGCGCTGTAAAAATCAAGTATCTCAATCTCCTTAACCAACTTCTAAGTTTTAACCTTTTTTTAATAGGACTGCTGCTTTTCCTTGGCTCCTATCTCTATCTATCTCATTTTCTGCTACCATTTTAAGGTCCGTTAATTATTAAAAACAAAAAAGAAGGAAATGAACAACACAACAATACATCCTTTCCTTTCTCACAACATGGATCACCTAAAGGGGGGGTGGAACCAGATCAATAGAGTAACAACAACAACAACAACAACAACAACAACAACATAATTCTGGTATGAAAAAAATAAAATAAAAGGACTGGGAAAACTGATTATCTTTAGCAGTAATGTTGAATAGTAGGAAATCAAGCAACCCACATTACCAGAGCAGTGATAAATTTTGGTTGCTTGTGTAATGGGGGGGGAGGGGTGAGAACTTGCTGACTGTAATGCTCTTCTTTCCACCCCTTTTCAGAGAAGGACCTTGCTGCCCACCTACCGGCCTGCAACAGTGGGAAAGCATTCATATTGTTTATTCTGACATTTCAGCTGCAAAAGGTCAGCGCTAAGGGCAATTTCTATAGCAAGCAATAAACAGATTTTATATTGGATCATTTTTCACCAGATCTTTGCTTGTTCTTATTCAGACTATGGCACTTCGGACTCTTCACTCTGACATTTACAGAGAAGCTGAGAAAGGGACAGGGAGTTCACTGTCCAGAACAACATTGTAGGGATACATTTTGTCGGGTCTAAATTACAAATGCAACTTGCAAAATGCTTGTATGTAGTATTGCAGCAAAGATTAAGACTCTCAAGGACTTTAGTGCATACAGCAAATTTCATCGGGAGAGATTGAGAGAGGCTTCATGCTGAGTCCTAAAGCAGGGTCATTCTCCACTTTTGAAAAGTTCAAGGGTCATAATCCAAACTAGGACTTCTTTCAGGACAAAAGTGCAAGGGATCCGAGCACAA